GGCTCATTTAGAGGCTGCAATGCGAATTGTTCGTTTTTTGAAAGGATCTCCCGGTCAAGGTATTTTGTTGAAAGCAAATCGGGATTTGCAGCTCGACGTTTATTGTGATTCTGATTTCCAAACATGTCCTTTAACTCGATGGTCTCTTAGTGCTTATGTGGTTTTGCTCGGTGGTTCGCCTATTTCTTGGAAAACAAAGAAGCAGGATACAGTCTCTCACTCTTCCGCAGAAGCCGAATATAGAGCTATGTCAGTTGCTCTTCGGGAGATTAAATGGCTACGAAAGTTGTTGAAAGAATTAGGCATTGAACAATCTGGGCCGGCCCGTTTATTTTGTGATAATAAAGCCGCTCTTCATATCGCTGATAATCCGGTGTTCCATGAGCGTACCAAGCACATTGAGTCTGATTGTCATTCGGTTCGTGATGCGGTCCGTGACGGCATTATCACTACACATCACGTTCGTACGGAGGAACAACTAGCAGACATCTTCACGAAAGCTCTTGGTCGTTCCCAGTTTCTCTATCTAATGTCCAAGTTGGGTATTCAGGATCTTCACACTCCAACGTGAGGGGGAATATTGAGATAATATCGTATATTATTAGGATAATATCGTATATTATTAAGATTAAGTTTAGTTCCTATAGTTTAGGATCTTATGTTTATCTCTTGTTGAGATCATCTTGTATAAATACCAAGTTTGGGATTCAATGAAAAGCAAGCAAGTTCTTTACCTAATTCTACACTAAGTAAAATGGTTAAAAACTCAGAACTAAACTAAGTTTGGCAAAAGATAATGCAGATTTTTATTGGTAAACCTTACTTATATAAACCATGCACTTGTAAAAAACTTTAGTAAAGTGATCATGGAATGTGTTTGTAGAATGGCTAAACAAAATGGCAACTCTACAAATAAATCGATTCATTACCATTCGAAACGAAATGGTAAAAATAAGAAATATTTAGAATCAAGATTCCAAATTCTATTGATTTCAATTCTCATTATACGAAACATAAATTTATCAACAAAAAAATAAAAATTCACTCTTCTTCCCAAATGCTAATTTTTTTTAGGGTTTGCAAATAACCACAAAGCAAGGAAGCAAAGCTTTAGGATTAAGCAAATAAAGCTCCTCCACATTTGTATACAAACCAACTTTGCCAGCCAAAGAATCAAACCCACTCATCAACCCATTCATCTCCTCCACATTCTCCACCGGCCGATGAACTCTTCCGGCAATAACCCTACAAACAATCAACACTTTCCTCACCGTCCGATCAACATCTCCACTCTCATCTCCACCATTAACCAAAATCGACTCAAACGCTCTTCCACTAGTCGACGCCGTGAAAACACCAACCCCATTATTCTTCTCCCGTTTCGACGAGAACCCGTTTCGTATAATCCGACAAACACAACATTTCTCCGCCGTGCAAAGACTCGTTGACCCGTTTATACCTAAACCACAAGCCACGGTGGTTCCGTGGAACCTAAGTAGCTCGTTACCGTCTGCGAGACATCTTGGATGCTTCTTTTGGAGTTTGCTTGCTCTGATTTTTACTGTCTCTCTGTATTCCTCAAAACGAGCTAGTGTTTTTTGCATGTTGTGTACTTTTAAAACTCTATCGATTCTTCCACATTGGTTCTCTGATTTTAACCAGCTTGTTCTGCAGATTATCTCCACTATTTTTCTTGATGAATCTCCTTCTACAAGCTCTGTTACTGCAATTTGGATGAAAATTAGATAAATTTGAGAAGCCTTTAATCAAAATCCGAAATTTAGAGTAAATGTTGTTTAAAGTTCAACACTTTAGCTTTGAATTGCTAATAGCAAAACTCTGTTTTTTTCAAGACTCTGTGTTTTCTTTATAAAGTTGCGATTTTTGTAACCTAACTTTTTGTTATTCTGAAACCTAAATTGCATAATTTGATAAATTTACTTACCGGCGTGTTTAGAGAGATGATGAGCTTCAGCAGCTTCAAGTTTATTGAACTGTTCACCACATTTATGACAAGAAACAGAGGAATTGTTGCCTCCATTAACGGCGTTTTCTCTGTTCATCTCCAATGAAACTCTTCTGTTTGTATGAAACCCTAACCCTTCTCCTCCTCCTCCTCGATCTCTCTCCGACAAAGCAAACGAACCCTTTCTCGTTTGGCTCCGGTAAGAAGCTGAATGGTTTAGATAATGCATCGGTGTTCCTGGTCTAAGCATCCCCACATAAGTCGTAGACCGACCATTTCCTCCTCCTCCGCCGCCACCTCCACCGCCGGAATCTGCTGCTCCGACAGGTGAAGCCATGTCTCCAACTCCAGTGATCTTAAGCTCACAAGTTGAGTTACTAAGGATAACTTCATGAGTTATAGGATTGAGAAACTCATTGCTTCCAATAGAACGAGGACTACTTATTGGTGGTTTCTCGAAATGTCTTTTGCTTCCATGGATAACGTCTTTAAGATTTGCTATTGATCTTGAACATCCTGATAAACCACCACCGCATACGGCTGCGCCACCGGAGGATACGCCGGAGATTTTCTTGGTGGAGATTGTGGAGAGGTGTTGTTGTTTAGTTGTGGATTTAGGGTCGTGGACATCAGATGGTTCGGATTTACAATGGAGAGATTTCTTGAGTGAGAACCAAACGGTTGGGATGTTGTTCTTGTTTTTGTTCTTCTTCTTCTTGTTCTTTTGGCTTTTTTTGCTTGAATCTTCCATTGTTGATATCTCTCTCTTTCTTTCTGTCTCTCTCTATCTTCTTCTGAATTTTTTTTGGGATTTTTTTGGAAGTGATACTATAATAAATATAAATAAAAATATTGAAGAAGCAAAATAGGTAAGTGAATTTGTCTTATGAGAAGATATATACAGTTGAATTATTAAATGAGATAATATTTAATTTTTTGTTTTTTAATAGAAGCATGTACGAGCAAATGAATCTGAAGGAGGTCTATATAATGTCTCAACTCACCGATGTAATAACACGAGAGAATGTTTCTTTCATTTACTGTTTTACGAATCTTAAAAGTGTAAAAACTGAAAAGACTTCACAACATGTTCAATGTTCATGTTCATGTATCATGAATTATGAAATACTAGTAATCATAGTATACTCGTTTTATAGATTGACATGAATTCAAGATTAGCTGAATATTGGAGTTTTTATTAAAAGAAGAGAATTAATAATAACCATAATCGTAATTAGTTCGATTATTTTGGGTTTAAAAAAGGTACATAAAATATCTTTTTCCTATAGTTACCGTGTAGAGAATCTTGAATTCATGTCATACTTCCAAAATTTTGGAATTTCCTTTACCTGTCTCTTACAAAATTTAATAACAGTTAATACGATCGTCAATCAATGAGATCGTGTGTGGGCAGGTTCACCGGTCTAATAAGGAAATTACTCGCAAAAAGAAGAAGTTTTTTTTATTTTAAAAATTTACTTTTCAGATTTTATGGTGAAAGAGTTGATTCTATTTGGATTATGCTTCTATGATGTCTGAAACCTAGTCAGGCTAAAACTATGTATTCACTCACTATTCATAATTTCATAAATAAGTTAATCCAAGCAATGATGATGACAAATTGTTGGTCAGTGACAACTAAATGAGAATTACTAATGAATTAATAGCAGAGCTATAGGAACTAAAAAGAACATTGATTCATTTCTTTCTGCTTGCATCGGTCAATTCACACACTTAAATGCCCCATAAGAGCAAATGAAACATTCTGACATTTCTTGGAAAGATAGTAATCAATATACATTAATCAATGCTAAACATTGTATATATTGAAGAACATGTGTATATGTTCAGAGCTATATATTCTTAATTATAGATACACCATGTAAGTTTACACACATATAACAAACCATTAACATTTATACTAAACTTCTTATATATACACGATGCATGTAACTTTATGACTCTAGTTGATAGATAACAATAGTTATACATAAGTTTTATACGAGCGGACGATGTAATATAAGATTTATGTGTATAAACGAAACTAAAACCGGATATTACATCAATATGCATGTTTGCATTATCTCTGTTCATAATAAAGTAACACTATAGTATTTAGTATTTACATCATATCGACTTCAAAACATGAAGGAATGGATGACAATAACAGTTTGTTTTAATGATCAAAATATAGTAACTCTAATCTTTAGTGAGTTTGTCAAACTTTGAAAGTGCATTTATTATGAATTGTAGATATCGCAAAGGGTAGATAATGGAAGTAGGTGTGGGTGTCGTTATAGCCATATTGAATTCAAAAGGAAGACATTAAATTTAGAAACTGAATTTTGAAACATATTGATAGATCATGTCCTTCTTCTGGGTTTCCCAGTTTCGCCCTAAAACCTAAAACCAACAGGACCATCATTTCGACCACACCACATTCACTGGTCTGCCCCAATCTAGCTATGATATATCTTAATTTTCGTATGACTTGGATCTATAACTATTGAAATAGATTTGGTGAACACAATTTACTCTGAAACTTCTTCTCTTTTTTTTCCATATTATTTTCTTACTTTAGTATTTTTTTTATAGTGACATTTTTAGTAATCCAGCGTTATTTTTTATATGACTAGTAATTCATCAAAGTTATTTAGTAATCAAATGCCACAATGGTTCTTCAATGAAAAAATGAAATGAGTAGGTCAGTACCTTTTAGAAAAAAATATTATTGGAGTATACTTCTGTCGTTGGTATATATAACACTATGTTATATCATTATTTGGATATACAGTACTAATCACTATAAATTAATAGATATTCGAAGTCCCAATACCTTTTTTTTTTTTAATTATTTTATCAAAACAAAATTCTTTCTTACGATTATGATGTTTGGTGGGCCTAAAGTTGGGTTTATTATAAAACCATAAGCGGCCCATTTAATTCGTAAACTTAATTCGATTTTTCCAGCCCATAATATATTTCCAAGGGAATTACATACATAAATTAATTTAACGTGAAATTTTTTGGAAATTCCCTCGTCCAAAAGAAAAAAAGTCAAGCGGTGGGAGAAAAAACTTTCAGATCGTAACCATTCATTTAATTATAATCGACGGTTTAAAAATCTTCGATCCGCGTAGTCTCTTCTTATTGGTCAATAACTTAATTCTCCAACATATATAAACAAACATCAACTTTCTTCTTCTTGATAATAATAATTCGTCAAGAAAATTTTCGATTTTTGCGGTAAAACAGCTCTTTTGGTGGTTGTTGTTGAAAAATGGCTGGTCGTGGAAAAACTCTTGGATCCGGTGCGGCGAAGAAAGCCACATCTCGGAGTAGCAAAGCTGGTCTTCAATTTCCGGTTGGTCGTATCGCTCGATTCTTGAAAGCCGGTAAATACGCCGAACGTGTTGGTGCTGGTGCTCCGGTCTATCTCGCCGCCGTTCTTGAGTATTTGGCCGCCGAGGTAAATTACATCGTCTTTTCTCTCTTTCTCCGTTTCCGATTTTATTGGGTCTGTCGCTGTTTTTCGCGTGATTGAATTTTTCCTTGACGAATCTAGGGTTCTTACATTTTCCGAATTTGACATGCTAAATTGGGGAATTTTACTTAAAATTTTGAAATTTGCCATAAATTTCTCAATTTGGCTTAGATTGGTGTTTTAATTGATTTGTCATGGCTCTTTAATTGAACCTAATTTTGGGTTTTATTTTGATTAGTTGATTATAATCGAAATCATTTAAATCTTTGTAGTTTTCTCGCAAGATTCTAAATTCTGGTCAGTTATGGAAACCAATTTCATTTGAGTTGTTAAAAGTTGTCAAATTTGGGAAGTTTGATCATTCCATTTCCTGAATTGGGTGTTTTTAATCTTACTTGGGATGTTCAATTTCTTCAGGTTCTTGAATTAGCTGGGAATGCAGCAAGAGACAACAAGAAGACACGTATTGTTCCTCGCCATATTCAGCTCGCGGTTAGAAACGATGAGGAGCTAAGCAAGCTTCTTGGAGATGTGACGATTGCTAACGGTGGAGTGATGCCTAACATCCACAATCTCCTTCTCCCTAAGAAGGCTGGTGCTTCAAAGCCACAGGAAGATTAGGTCTTTAACACAATGATATAGAACACGTCTCTCCTCTGGCTTTAGATCTAATAACCTAATAACTAGCTATATAGATGGTCACTTTTTTTATCTTTGCTTTTTAATTCCTTTAGGGATTTGTTTCTTTCTGTTTCAGTTTGAACATGTTGTTTCAGTTTGTGTGAATATATGAAAGTATTTTGCATAATCAGAATGGTAATCTCTTTCAAAGATGTTAATACCTTATTCAGCAAGCAAACCCTGCGCATTGTAGCTTTTAAGTCAATTCGAAATAACTATAAAGGTTATCTTCTATTGAAAACAAGATTGTAAAAAGGTGAAAACAAGATTGAAAAAGATGAAAGAGAAGTGTTTCTAAAACTAAATGTGAAAAAGTTGGTACAAGTGAGTGACAGTGTCTATGCCTCTTTAAATTACATCTGAAAAACTCATATAATCATCAGTGACTAAAACCTGACATGTCTGAGGGTTAATGCCATTACACTCCCAGTAGGAAAAGATTAATCAGAAGCTCTCAGCAAAACCGCAGAGGAATTATGTCCTAACAGGTAACGAAACCAAAGATTTGTACTTTTTAGTCTGAATCTGAACTAGACTGATCCATGCGTCTCTCTGTAATAGCTGGAAACAGTTTCTGTCTAGGATCTAACGAAGGCGTTTGTCTTGGAGTTTCTGAAGAAGATGAGGCTGTTGAGCCCTGTTTTCTGGCCATCCTTACGGGTCTTCCTCGTGCCTCTCTGACTTCTTTGCAGGATTTATCTAAGATTATCAGAAAATCGCGCACAATCACAAACAAACGCAACCCTTCATCTTTTCCTGCTTTGCCATGGAAATAGTCCCCTGTACTTTTCACCAAAGCCATTATTCTCTTCTCTTCCCCGAGTATGGACATGATGCTTCCTTCAGCATTTTGAATAAAATCTTCAAGCGCTTCACGAAACCCACTTTCCTCGCCTGAACTCTTCATCTCTGAGTTGACAAAGTCTCGAGCTTTCGACAAAGCATGACCCATTTTAAGAACAGTCCCTGTTAAACCATCAGCATCTATGTTTGCAGATTTCTTTACATGTTCAAGCTCACTGCTCAAGCCTGAAACTTTCTGAAGTCCAAGATTACGGTAATTCTCTTCTGTCTCTTCAGAAGTTTCCTCGGCTAAGAGATCCTCTGTTTTAACACTTGAGAAACTTTGGCTCTCTCTGATAGTACGAGCCGCTCTTACACCTTCAGTCCTAATTATCTCTTGAACAACGAAATGGAGGAGCGTTGTTTTCCCATCAGTTCCCTTGACGTCTGCTAATTTCAAAAGAGTGTCCAGCTTGAAAGCTTGCGCACCACCCCTAAATGTACCATCATTCATTCGGTTTCCGGTCTTAAGAACCGCCTCTAAGAGCTTCAGGAACAGCCGACTTCCCCTAAGTTCTTTACAAGCAACCTTTCATATACACCAAAGAAGATGCATTTAGATTGGAGAAGAAGCAAGATTCTTGAGAAAGACTAAGAAACTGTAATATATTTTTCTTTTCAGTACAAAGTTTTTGTTAAAGATTAGAAACGTACCTCCAATGTCTGAAATGACTCTTTAACAAAGGCCATTTCTTCATGGAGTGTACACATAAATAGAAGTGCCTCTAGACGCTTGAAAGCAAAAGGGATATCAACGACTGCTTTCAGGAATCGTTCCGCGGATCCCAGTTGGGCTATTTCACCACAGTATAATCTAAGCTTTAGTTCTTCTTCTGGTGTTGGTGCCATCTTTAACAGAGTCTGAATGAATTCTACAGGAAGCTCATTTCCTAATTCAACAAAAATTATGTTAGAAAATACATAGGAGAATGTTGCCAGAAAATCAAAATCTTTTTAATCCACCTAGTAGAAAAGAAGGTTACCTTCGCGGAGTGCATCACACACTTCTTCAGTTGTCGCATTCAAAGCACGCAAAAGAATTGATAGATTTTGTCCTTTCTTTGGTTCCAGAATCTGAACAAACTGAGGTAAAGCAGCTTGTCCAGAGGACCCCTTCTTGTCGTTTTTATTCTTGTCTGCTGCTGCATATCCAAATAACGACTCTATCATCTCTTCATTGAACCTGGAAAAGCATCACAAATAAGTTGTATTCAGTAACTGCGAAAGTTATATGGTTACAGAATATTGGGGAAAAAAGCTAACAACTTTACTCACTGAAAGGATCCTGATCTTATATCATTCCAAACCATTGAATGCTCTGGGTTTGCTTGCACTTTATCCCAGAAAAATGGCTTCAACTTTGTTTTGGGAGCATCATCATCTGATGCGGTTGCTGGCCCAGAAGACGGTCGGGGTGCTTTTGGGCCGAGACTCATCGGTGGAGGCGGACGTGGTCCTTTTGGTCCAGGAGGAGGTGGTGGCTTAGGCCCACCAGAACCAGGTGGCGGAGCTGGAGGAGGCGGTCGTGGAGGACCAGCAGAAGATGGCATTGGCGGTGCTGGAACTGGCGGCGGAGGAGCAGAACCTTTTTTTGAGGATACCTTCAGAAATTTGGGTGGTTCCGGTGGAAGAGGCTCCACTTTTCCAGAAAAAGACTTCCCTGAGAGTACAGAAGCTGTTCTTCCAGGTGGAGGCTTCAAAGGTGGAAGCCCGTGATTAGTAATACTATTATTTCGCATTCCTTCGTGTGACAGCCTTTCTTCTAACGAATCTGAATTGTCAGAATTACTTCCATCGAAAGATGACATTTTTCCTTGGTTTGAGTAAATATTAAAAGATTGATGACCCAACTTGTCTCCTTTGACAGAACCACCATAATTGATGGAGGAACCTGAAAACATTAAAAAGTGTTTTGATCTTAATTTAAAATTCAAGAAATTTCCTGTTAGTTTAGTACCGTGAGAAAGTGGAGATATTATTACCAACAGAGTAATCGCTACTGCTTAAACTGAGAAGAGGCCGTTCATCGTTTTTCCTGCCTCCTGAACCATTTCCACAAACCCTGGTGCAGCATAAGAAGAATAATGCAGCAAACAAAAACGTAGAAACTGCAGTCACAACAACAGCAATGATGATTGTTTTCTCATGATCCTCTTTTCTTTTCGCAGGTGAAACAGGTGCAGAAGTTGAATTTTTAGAAACGTTTTTCTTAGCAGGAGGCGGAGGGGGGGATCTTGATGGTGGAAAAGATGATTTCCGCGGAGGTGGGGATCTTGATCGAGTAGGTGGGCGCCGAGTCCCCGGACTATGCTTAGGAGGACGGGAAGGTAAAGGTGAAGGAGAAGGGGAAGAGCCAGGTCTAGTAGCTAGATTTCTCCTCGGAATATCAAGCATAGATGATAGGAGCTCGAGATAATTAGGGTTATGAGCATTTAACTTTCCTTTTTCTTGGATACAATCAAGAAGAGCCTGCTTCAGATGGGAATGATTCAAACCAAATAGTTCCCTACTATCCTTTGATCCTGGAAAACATAAATTGAATGCTGCGACAGCTTCCTTCACACAATCTGAATCTTGCCAACAACGCTGCGCCCATGATGTTTCTTCCTGCCAAACATTGTACAAACAAGAGAGAAACAACTTTTAGAGCTACAAAACGTTTTGAAAAGCATAGCAATCACTAAGAGAGAGCCAACTATAAATCCAAGCATGATTTCAAATGGCGAGTCCAAACTATTTTGCAAGAATCATATAATATAAGCGTTCTGAGACGATCTTAGCTTTTTTATAGGGAACATGAATCAAAACCAATAATGCGATCTTAGTCTCTAAAAACCTAAGCTTTCAGCAAGAAGTAAGCTATGACTCGCAACTATCTCTGGATAAAGTCTACTACAGAGCTACAGAATCTTCTAGTTTTGGTACAACTCTCTCTGGATAAAGTCTACTACAGAGCTACAGAATCTTCTAGTTTTGGTACACACAGACCATAAGAATGCCTTACAAACTAAAACATATCAAGATAGCGACAAGCGTGAACTGAAAGTTGGCAGCAACAAAATGCTCTCTGAAAATTACCCCATTGATTAAAACGTAAGTTAAGAACATTAAATGATTGACACATTCAAAAACCATAGACTTTATATAGCAGGATACAAGCTAATGATCACAATCAGACACCTAGATTCTTGCAGGGAACATGAATCAAAACCAAAAATGCAATCTCAGTCTCTAAAACATAGCTTTCAGCAAGAAACAAGCTATGTGTCTCGTAACTTTCCCCTCAAATGTACACTACAGAGCTACAGGATCTCCTAGCTTCTACATTTTAAACCCTTTCATAAAAAAAAAATCAAACAAGCTTGAAAGCAAAAAACAATCTTTACCATTTGTTCATTGACCTGCCCTGTTGATGGGGCCATGAATTGACTAAGAAAAATCTCATCTTTATCTGAATTCTCTTCCAATGTTATCACCAAGAACCCAGAAAGCAGAATCAACCAGAAAACTAAACGAGTCCAATTCTGATCACCCATTCCTCCTTGAATCATTCCAACCATATCTTTTGCTTCTCATTTCATCAGATACTCAATAGAATCAAATTGCTGATTATACAGGTTTTGAAAGCAGACCCTTTTGGCTGAAACTCGATAAAGATCGAAACTTTAACACAAAAACTCAACAACCCTGATCGAAATTTGGAGCTGACTTCGATGCAATTTCCTTGGAAGACTAATTTAATAAAGCTTCTTCTACAATGCGACGAGATCAATTACACGTTTCGAGAAAACAAGAGACAGCACAAAAGGGGAAGAGTTGGTGCTAATGATTGTTGGCCAGATCCAATTTTGACAATGCGATTTGTCGTCGGTCCGTTCTACCAAAACCAAAATTTTGACCAGAGAGAGACCAAAAAAAGTTTCAACCTTTTTTTTTCCGAGAAAAGTCGACGAGATAAATTCACGGAGATATTAGCTCTCAAGCTTCATCAAATTTTCTCGAAGCTTTTTAGTTCATTTTTTCTTCCAAACTCAATCACGCGAAATTTACGCAGAGTTATTAATATATTGGATTATTTTGTTTTTTCTTGATTTTATTTCTCAGGGGAAGAAAAAAAAGAAGAAGGTAAACTAAAATCGCAGTTTTATTTATTTTATTTTATTCTGATATTAATGTATCCTATATAGAAATAATGTTAAAAGCAAGCAAATCTTTTAAAATCTAATACTAAAACTTCAGTTTTATGAAATTTGATTTTGTCTTATTTTGTCCGCCTGTGTATTAACTATTAAGTTTTTTTTTTTGAATATAGAAATGAAAACATTAAATTTATTTTGATTTTTTCATCTTCATATTTTCAACCAAAAAATATATATAGAAATTACAGTTAATTGAACAAATAATCATGTTTAGTTTTTGTTTTGTTTTGTTTTGTAACAACATATAATACAACTTTTAAACCGGATTATATTTTAACTAAGTAAATAGCAATAGAAACAAATAAAATTTAACCCCTGAAGATAAATCATTTTATTCCATGATTAGAGATGCATGCATGATGCATGGGATATCTCTCAATATTCAATTTGCTTGGGAAAGCAAAGAGTTAAAAATTAAAATAAATAAAGACTGATTCAATTTGTTTAGAGAATCTTGATCTATTGCATTACGCATTTACGCTATTCCTTGCACACCTAGTATTTTCTTACGAAAGTTAAAAAAATAATATGAATTTAAAGTAAATTGTAGATTCTTCCATGAGGACAACTATCCTTTTCCATTTATCATTGAAACTGGAAAACTCAAATGCGTATAAGTTTTAAGTTTCGTACTGAGTCAAATTTGTTTATACCTCAGCCATCCACATGTATGGTCTTATTATAGAAATAACTTTTATTTATGATTATTTTTTATCAAAAAAAAACATTTGAATGTCATTGATTAATAAATCAATAATTTTCCATAGTTTTATTTATGTAGTTTCTCCATAATACGTTGTAATAATGGAAAACATAATCACATCCATTCCATTAGCATCGGAGCTTTAGCCAGTGAATCGAATGATGTATAACAGTACCTGGAATCCAATAAAACTGCACCTCAAAAAAGTAGTGTAGGTTTAATATAAATAATCAATAGAATAACTTAACCTAAATTAAAAATTGTATAAACTAGAATACCATTTTTGTAAGAAATTTTTTCCAAGATAAACACATGGACAAACTAACCTTTAGCCTATAGAAAATCCGACTATTCATGATAATTTAAAGTGTTCACGTTGCCTCAACGAGAGGAGATCATAATGACTAAATTTGAATTCTAACTAAACTTTTGAAGGAAGAATTTTTAATAAGTAATATCGTGAAAATATTGATTTACTATTGTTTTTATAAAAGAGGAACGATAATTAAGGTGTAGGTCTTTAATTTATCCTAATATAATTTCTGATACATCTTTTGATAGTAATAAATACTTATATATATATATATATATATATATTATACATGGAAACTAAAAAAAAAAATTTCTATAAATATTAGTTTATCAACTTATCATAGTATACTATAAAAAAAAGAGTAGATTGTATCACTTAAATAGTATCACAAAAACAAGTGATTTTAATTTAAATTGCTTATTAATAAATGATACAAAATAAGTGGTTTAACATCAATTATTAAAATTGATGTTATTATTGAATTATTTGACATCAATTCAACTATGAAGATGAAGAATCAAAGTGGTATGGCTCAAAGCAAGTAAGACACATTTCTTTGTGACCCTTCGAGCAATTTCTACGTCAAGAGAACATATTCATTCCTCTCTTTACTTAAAGCATGCTAAAGTATAGTCACAAAGAAATAAGAATCTCTCCCTACTTTTTCTCTTATCATCAAATAATTTTGAGCCCCCACTAGTTTTCCATAATCTTCGTTTTTAACTTTTTTTTTTCTTTCTTTAATCTACTTTTGGACCTATCATGTCAATAATCTAAGTATATATTTTTAAATATGCTACAAATGTACCTCCACAAAATAAAAACAATATTACTTTGTGTAAAATATTAATTAATTTTAATTTTTATGTTCCCATTAAAATTTATTTATGGACCTGGCTGTAATTAAATTCTTTTGATTAGCTTTTTTATATCCTTTTTTGTTAGCTATCTCAAAAATCATACTATAAGAACAAACCTTGATTCCAAAACTCACACACACAATCAACCACTTTCCCTTTTTTTTTTCATTCGTCTCAATTTCTCTCATGACGAGTTGTAGTGGAAGTCTCAAACTAGAGATCCACACCGACGACAAGACGCCGGGAAAGTGGAGCGTACCTCTCGGCGATGATGTTTTCCGAAGGTTCTTGAGCGGGGGAGGAGGCTCCGAGAAGGCTGTGTTTGGTGAGGGATCTCTTTTTAGCCCGTTTTTGTTCGGGAAGTACTTTGATCCATCAGATGCGTTTCCCTTGTGGGAGTTTGAGGCTGAGGTTTTGCTGGCGAGCCTTAGGAGCTTAGGAGGACAGTGTAGAGTCGATTGGTCTCAGACCGATCTAGCTTATGTCCTTAAATCTGATATCCCCGGTACATACGTTTTTCTCACGCCACAATTCTCTTATTTATTTTTGTCTGGAAAACGTTTTTTCTGCATTAGAATAAAATTAAAAATAGGATAGATCGGAACTTTAAAAAAATAAAAATATATACTAAATCTTCGTTCAAATAATTTGTTATACATTCATAACGATCAAAATTTAACATGTGAACTGATGAATAGATATAGTACAACTACAAATATGAACAGAAACCTAAGTTTCTTTGAAAGTGAGGATATATTTGATTAAGAGTGTAATTAAACATGAACCAATCTCAAAACATACCAAACTCATACAAATTTTTTCATTCAATTTTAGGATTTCTTTTGTCAAATTTACTTTAAATATCAAAATGATCGAACCACAACTTGGATTGGACAATCTTATTATGGTAACGAGAAACATGATATAATATGAAATATAAAATTATCAAATAATATTTTAAAACTGGTATAAAATAAATTATGTAATCCTTTTCTTGATGTTTCAAGAAGGAAAAAAAAACTGATTAAAATTTTGGTACTTGTATATTAGTGGTGGGAAAAAATAACGTGCAGGTGTATGTGGACGTTAACGGAAAAGTGATGGAGATTAGTGGCCAGTGGAACAACAACAAGAAAGCGGCGGCTAACGGTGACTGGAGAAGCGGCCGGTGGTGGGAACATGGCTACGTCCGCCGGCTCGAGCTCCCTTGCGATGCCGACGCCAAAAACTCTGAAGCTTTCCTCTCCAACAACGACGATTACTCTTTCTTAGAGATCCGTATCCCTAAGATTAATTCTAAGAACAAGTTTTAATCTGATGTGGGCTTGATGAGTATTAACGTTAGATTCTTATCTTGATTTTGTTTTCTTTAACTATTATTGTAAAATGATCTGTGATGAATTTCTGTGGTGGAGACACAATGGATGAATGATATGATATATATATATATACATAGTATATAATATATCAAGTATACCATATACTGATATACAAATAATTTATTGATATTACACACAAATACGTTAATGCAGATGTTTTTAGTGTATGTATATACGGAAATTGCACTAATTTCACTTTTGAAGACTATTTCAGCTCAAAAATGTGTTTTCGAATGTACGTAATATCAGACTCAATAGGTTTATTGTCTGGCGCGTGTGATCATCTCCCATGAAATATTGTTTTCATGAGCTTCAAACCAATAAGTCATGTTAAAAGAAAGAAAAAAGGTCAGGTAATAATTAATAAATTCATTACCAAAAAGACATGAGAAAGACTTATGATAATGGATCAAGTAGAACTTCCATAGATGCTCTATTGAGACTAGGATTCAGTGAAAATTGGACTAAGTGGATGATGTGGTGTATCCATAGTCTGTATCATATAAATAATTATGATTAGCGGCCAATGGAGCAGCAAGAAATTAAATCTGCTGTTAACAACGACTAGAGAAGCGGCCGGTGGTGGAATACGGCTACGTGTCGTCCATAGTCTCGAGCACCCCGGTGACCCTGACACCATAAATTCCGAAGCTTTCCCCTCCAACAACAACGACTACTCTTTCTAGGAGATCCGAATCCCAAGATTAGCTCCAAGAACAAGTTTAATTAATCTGAATATATATTAGGTTTATAATTTTCTTTGTTTTTTTTTCACAGAATGATTTTATGTGTTGGACACAAAGGTAGACTAGTCATTACCAATGTAACCGACGCAAGAAAAACTCCTTATGTCACAAAAGTACATTCTCTTTGGTTAGACAACATTAATGTATTGTCATAGGATTCTAACTTCTTGCTTTATATATATTGAAAATCCTCTTGAAATATTATCTTGTAAAAGTTAGTTTCACATAGTAAACGTAAAACGTTGGTTTGTCATCACCAATTGAAGTAATTCGCATCATGTACTGTATCCCTTGTTTCCACAAAAATGTGACTACATTCAAATCTTCATCGGCATTTTTCATTCTCGGGTTGAATACAAAACAAAATCCTAACGAATTATTGTCTCATACCAATAACTAATAGCTAGCTACTTGTAGTCTTGTAGATACACACACACATAAGAATTCGGGAACTCTAAAAAGTCATCGAATCTAAATCAAAGCATGAAGTGTTTGGGCAGATCAGAAGGATGGAGCTAAACTTAAGAAACTCTATATTTATGATTAAAATATGAAAATTTACCCATATGGTGGTGGGCGAGTGGTTGGTGGGCTCTGGTTGTTTGGGTGAAATTTCCTCCACCCTGGCTTCGACTCCACCTGCTGTTATCAACATTATTGTGGGTAGTCTGTTAGTTGGGCTTTGGCCCAATTGGTTTACCTGGTAGTCAGAAATGCAGGCGGCCTGACTACCCCTGGCTTAGTCGGAAGGCATTCCAAACTCGGGATAGGCAGAGTGGTAGCCCGAAGGGCCTAGCCGTTAAAACGGTGGAGCAGTCCACTATGTAGCACCTCGGTGCGTTCCTACCGGGGCCGACCGGATAGCCGATAGGGTTTATTAAAAAAAAAAAGAAAAAAAAAAAATTTATATTATACCATCCCAGATCTGAACATTCTTTTTTTTTTTTGATAAAAATCTGAACATTCTTTCCAGTCTATATAAGTTTTCACCTTTATTAGCAGTTGATCCCTCTTACATCAATGATGTCTAACGCAATGACCCAATTATAACTTTCTATATAATAGATGTGGTGAGGTCGATTTACCGATTAGGTGAATAAAAATAATTATTATTGTGTACAGGTACAGAAAAAAAAACCTCCAAATTAGTGGACCACTTATTTGTGTTTACATATATAAAAAAAGGCAAAAGAAAAAGTATGAAATACATATATATCCATTGGTGTATAGGTATAAATGATAATTCTCGACATTTTTAGTTTTTTTCTTTCTAAAAGAATGAGATTGAATTGTCCATACAATGCGACTTTGAGATTTTGTTTTTTCAGAGATCTCAACACTCTGAAAATTTTCCTTGATTTTCAAATGGCTCTAATGGGAAATGAAAAAGAATTTGTTAATTTAGTGTTTTTTCTTTAATGGCTTTGATCATAGTGTGTTAGTGGAACAAGCTAAGAATATATGTAACAGAACAGAACAGTATTAAACTATTCTTTTAACAGAAGAAGTAGGTCTAAGTTTGATGTGAGAAAGAATTTAGATGAAATATTTGGAGCTCTCTACCATAAATAAGAAAATAGATCTGGCAACAACTTTTTCTTCATGGGAAGTGTTTGGTGCATTCCCTCAACATCTATTTTTATATAGAAAATTTTCATTTGAAGAAAATGATAATTACATTGTCTGAACATATCACTATCTAGAAGTTGGTCAATAGATTAACGTTTCTACACCTATATTTTGCATATATTAATTTGAAAACACTGTATTAAGAATTAATATCTAAATTGTTTTTAGTACTATATAATGTGATTCACTTAGATGAGGGTGAGTAAAAAATCATGGCTTAACGCTGAAGTCTCCCATGAACTAATTCTGTTTCAATAAAGTTGCAAAGAAAAAAAGTAAAAATAAAATAAAATACTTTTTTTTTGATAAAAAAATAAAATAAAATAAAATACTTGGCACCCATTTGACGCAAGTGAGGGACTAACATCATACGAAACAATTCCTAAACTAAGGAGAAAATTAAATATACATGTTTTGTGGTCATGAGATATTGAGATTAAACTTACGACGTGGGAATTAATATTTTCACTAGATAACAATCCGCACTATGTGTGGGATGAAGTGATTCAAGTAAAATTATTATCCGGGATCCAAGATCTGTTTGTGTAAAACGAAACATGTTACAAATTTTTTTGTTTTATTCAAATTTGGGACTATTTCATATAAGAATATGTTTTATCCGTGAAATATTTGAACCTTGAATAAAACTTCAACGTGATAAAAAAGTATTGACAAAATGTTACCATTTATGGCAATATGTCTTTCCGTATGTTTTAAAGATTTCGAGATTTTGTAGTATAAAAAGAATTTTTTTTTTAATAAGTCTAAAATTTAGCAAAGATGAGATTTGATAGTTTCCAAGCTAAGATTTTGTAGTGTTCCAAATCTAAGATTCTTAGATTATGAATGGATTATTTACGAAGTGGTTATAATGTGGCCAGATTTTAGTTTATATACAAATGTGGTTATAATGTTTTTCTTCGAAAAGTTAGAACTCTTCCAAAAAATAGGATTTTAAGTATTTGTAACATATATAGAAAGGAGATTATCTTATTTATTTAATTAAAAAAATTATGAAAGATGTTAAGATTTTGTAGTTTTGAATTCGAGATTCTTGAATCAAATGTATATATTTTATCATTAAATGTAAACATAAATATAAATATAAATAAAAAGATTGTTTACCCATCTGCTAAAGAAAATTTATATAAATATATATAAAGAAAAATATAAATATAAAAATATAGTAATATAAGATAAACAAAAAGTGTATGTTTGTAATTATTATTGGGATATATGGATGTATGAGACTAATGGCAAATTCTGTAAATAGTCTAATAAATCTTGGATAATTATCTAAATAGAAGCCAAATCATTGTGAGAGCGACACATCAGCGTGGCAATCTTGTTAGTAACACATGATAGTAAAGTTTTTTTTTAAATGTTTCTCTATTAATATATAGGGGATTCTTTATAAATAACCTGCATGACTTATTATAACTTTGAGTCGCAGCTATATCCAGTTTCAATAGTTTAACGCACTCTTTTAATATCAACTTCATTTTAAAAGAATATTTTAAATATTTTAAGATAGTTCTCAAAAATAGGTTTCGGAATTTAATTAACTTGTCCTTTTAATTAATCAATTTAAATTTCCAATAGAGACCACTTCGTCTAACAATAAAGTTCAGATATAAGCTACATGCAGACCACAAATCATAAAAATTATAACAATAAACTATGAAATGCGCGTTTTGTATTTATATATTATACCATTTTGTTAACTCGGAATTTCAGACTTGTTCAACTTGATATTCGACGCCACGATTTTTAGAAAAACACATAGTCTAATACAATTTTTAGTAATACTTAATTCTAATTATATACTTTAATTTGACTAAATCAAATTTGGCATGATCCTTGCATCGCCTAATTAATCACCCTTTGCATAAAGTGGTATTTGCTTTATCCAGACATAATATGTAATAATATATTTGAATATATTCTTAAAGTTCCAAAACCATCTCAATAATCACAAATTCATTTACAAAACGGTTACAAGGTGAATCATAAAGTTTCCAATCATGAAAATATAAGAAAATGTTATTTATTTTTGTTTGTTGCATGATCCAATTTAGAAATATATTTAGAGTACGTATAAAGCTAAAAGATGTTTAATGCGTCTAGAATAGTAGAATGTGCACTTAAATGTTTCTATGTCGTCAATCACTATTTTTTTCGGGGTCCTATATAAAGATAACTGCATGTACATTGTATATTTTTTCTGGCAAAATAATAAATAAATAAGCTTTATCCCCAAATATGTAACTAAATCGTATTCACTGGTATAAATAGCAAAGATAATAATAAATTTTGCAATATAAATTCACTTCTTAATGTTTTTTTTTTTAATAAAAGATTTGTTAAACTACATAATGTTTCAACAATGTGAATTTAATCATCAATTTTGCTTAACCACATCAACGACGATATTTCAACGGCTAATTCAGCTCGGACCATTAGATTTAACATTGTTTCTTTTCACATGAAATTTGACAACTCGTCAGGGGTAGAGACAGAATCTAAGAATTACACGACAAAAGACAATTTTTCATTCGGACAATTTTAGCCCATACCTTTTGAAACCAGAAAGTTAACGTGACTGCATATAACAATCTTTGGATTAATGCTAAGGGTAATTTCGGAAAGTTAAAATATCCACTTTTTCTGAAAAGAATCTCTCGTCTAAAAAATTGCTG